GTCAACTACAATTATTAAAATTGTGTATCCAAATAATATTTTACAGATTTTGAATAAATAAATAAAAACTGTAAAAATATATATATATCTAAATAGTGGGTCATGAGGATGTAAGCCCCATTCTGTTAGACTTTATACATGTTGTAAGTACAGGAAATATATATTTTTTAATCAAACATTTATAGCGAACATGAATAGAACAAGAGCAGTGTATATATACTGGACGTCAATAATTATAATCATTACAAGTGTATCCAACATTGCTCTATGGTTATGGTGGGATATAATATAACCATTATATATACACGTAATACAAAATGCTGTAAAATAATAGAACATGTTTGACTAAAAAAAAATTGTCAATAATAGAACATGTTTGACCAAAAAGATAAAAAATAAAATTGTCATCCATTAGCGCATGGTACAATAATAGATATATCTATGAGATATATAACTGAAACGATTTGAATAATAATTATTATATAAATCAGAACTGACTAAAAAACCGGAACTGATATTCTTTGAGTAATATTTATGTTGGATAACAAATAAACAGTAAATCTGCCCACGATAACAAATATTTTTAATAAAATACGGAACTGGTAAATTTGTAAATCGTGCCCACGATAACAAATACACTTGTAATCGTGAAAATAAATAAATAAAAAACAAAATAAATCGGAACAATATATTCTTAACAAAGCGGAACTGATATATTGTAAACGGTTTGTACGAAACAGCTCGAAAAACAACAGAAAAAAAAAAACTAATGATCTACACGATTCACGTGGCTTGAAATCCAGGTTGAGAAAAGCCTTTACACAAATTTCGAATCAAGTACTCTTGAGTTTATCAAACACAACAATAAACCAACTAGCCACTAGGGAAACTTGCAGTAATAATAAATTGAAGACTTAAACTATTCATGAAATTATGGCTGGACCTTTATGAAGAAGGCATATAACACTGTAACGTGTCCCATTCAAATAATATATGCAGCGTATATTTAAAATACAACGTGGATATGCTACTCAATAATATAATAATAGGAACAATATAAAACCAATTTTATTGTTGAAGCTTATTAATCTTCGCACATTTGAATCCGTTACTGCAAACCCATTTGATTTTACTGGAAGCAAAAGATAAGATATATCTTATTGTTACAATCTTCTTAAAAATCGGAATCGATAAAATCGGAATTGATATATTTATTAGACACCAGTAAGATATATCTTTTTCAAACAAATATGACGATGCGATTCAAGAAGTATATCTACTAAATTGAATCAGTCAACAACAAAAAATATAACGGTAAAAATATATATATCTAACAGAATAGATATATCCTAAAATATATATATATACCAAATATAATAACAATATCATATGTAACATCCCGAAACGGTACTGTGGACAGAGGGTATATGAACAGTAACAATATAATAACATAACACTTGTATTTCTCAATAACAATATACCAAATATAACATCCCTATACCAACTATAATAACAATATAATAACTCGATATCTATTGTTATATGTCATTGATCAAGATATCTATTGTCATATGTCATTCAAACGGTAAAAAAAAGAACAGTAGTATTATATCACGATGAAGGTTATCTAGAAGGTATATGAACAGTGATATGTCATTAGAAATATATGAATAGAAATATTTCACGTCTGGTTCAATTCCCTGAGTGTAAAATACCGAAAAAATCGTTTCTTGTTAAAATAATATAATAATCTGTTAATTTATTTATATAACAAGAAGTTTCTGTTGAAATAAAAAACCGTGCCTTGAAAATCGGAATTGGCAAAACAAAAAACGGAAAAGCGGAACAGTAATAGTGATACTATATATACACTAACATACAAGTTAATATCATGGGTTTACAGTAAAACCACTAAACAAAACACTAATGGTTATGCTCCACGGAATATTACTTCAAGTAACTGATATCATGCAACAAATATCACGAAAAAGTATGTAACAGTTATGGCCATGACACAACATTTAATATAATAAGACAAATACCAAATTTTGATACCCTGGATCATCTATTATTTTGGCACTAATAGATGTATATGTTCAAACGGTAAAATATTTAATCATGCCTTTGAAAATCGGAACTGATAAAACAAATAAACATTTCAAGTAAACAGAAATTTGCCTTGAAAATCGTGCCCACGATATATCTATTGATAAACATTTCAAGTAAACAGAAATTGGCCATGAAAATCGGAACTTAAAAAATGGAACAGTATATTATAACAAACAAACAAATTTTCACTACAAAACTTCCGTGGACTTCTTCAAAAGTTTTGAATAAAATAAATAAATAAATCAACTTGTCAAAGTAACAGAAAACCAACCACTAACATAATACTGCAGATACACCAGCTACCTTATTATAGGTCTTCCTTCTCCAATTTCTGGATACCGATAGCTTGAACGTAATTTATAGGGAATTCCATATTTCTAAAATTTATTAATCCATTTCATTCTCTTCTACGTTACTTCCGTACGCCATAGACAAATAAAAATAAAGATCTCATAGCTAACAAAGTATACCGCAAGACAAATGGTAAAACGACAATTCACTAAAAATAAAATAAAAAATGTAAAAACGACAGACTAACAAAAAAGTGAAAACAATAATGAGAAGTTTAATCTCACTAACAAGCACATGCAACCATGTTTTATCGCAAAGTATTTTAAATAACCCAACAAAATGAAATATAAAGGGTTAACAACGTAGAAGAAGATGCCATTTAAATGTTAGAATGAAGGTACTGTAGCTATAGCAAACTTAGGTCGGATAGCTAATTGAAGCTAACAAAAACTCAGTAAATATTAACGTAAAGATTTCGACGTGTAGAGCAAAACCCTAAGTTTCTTAATTCAATACAAAAAAAAATTCATGAAATAATGCATAAAAAAAAATCCCAAATTCTTTGATTCCATTCAACAACATGGATCCTATAATCATATACATAAGGCTCTGATACCAAATGTTAAATCTAAAATTATATAAATCATGCAATGATTATAAAATACCAAATGTTAATAAATCAGAGTTGTAATTATGTGTACCTTGTTGGGCCATCACAAAGTCGGAGAAGAACGGTTGGAAATATGGGAACAAGATGCTAGAGTCTTCCTCTCTATTACCTATTCAGAAATTGGCAGCCCTCAGCAGATGGGAGCATGATGGCTTATGGAGCTTAACTCCAATATTTATAGGCTAGAGAGGGGACCTAGCTAATAACCTAGAAAAGAGTCTGTGTCTACTGGGTCCACCCATCATGGAAAACCAGGGTCACACTAAAGCCTACACTGCTGCCCAACTAGGCCCAATAACAACAGATGCTAGAAGCCCAATTCAATGTGATCACAATGAGCTAGTTACAATAATAATATTGAAATATCCATTAACCCAATTAATTTTAAATACAAAACTAATTAATTAATATTGCCCATAAAATAAATTTCTAACAGGAAGTACATCTTTGAGGAGAGTATTTGGCATGGAGCATACAAGTTTGGCAACCCATTTTGACGATTATAGTGGCTCTCCTATAATTAAGCCTATATCTTTGTGGGACATTTGGTTACTGCATGACATACAAATTTCTTATTCTTTTTGTACTGTTTGTGTTACCGTTGTTTGCTGACTCTTTTTATGGTGGTTTTCAAACTCTTGACTTTTATAATTAAAAAATATGGGATATCTAGGCAGTCATTTGATAAGCTTTTGATGGGGAGGCTGATTGTGGTTTTTAGTCTCTCTTTTCAATGACATGCTTGGTTCTTGTTTTCAAACTTGTGTTACAAGTGTTTTAATATTCACTAATAAAACAAATGCAGGAAGAGCTGTAACAACTTGAAAGGATGGAGAAAGCATCTACATCGTGCAAAGAGTAAGCTGTATATGGTTACAAGTATAATTTTTTCGATGAAAATGTATTGGTGTCGAATTACAATGTAATGCTATCATAAGAAACCAAATTAATTTTGTTTGTAAATTGACAACTGCACTTAGGAATGGCCGGTGCGTTGTCAACACTTTGTGGACAAGCTTAAGGTGCAAAAGAGTATGGCATGATGGGAGTTTATCTTCGAAGATCATGGATTGTTTTATTCTTAACTGCACTCTTCCTTCTTCCGGTATTCCTCTTCATAAGCCCAATTTTGATGATCTTAGGCCAAGAAGAAAGCATAGCACAAGTGGCAGGATACATATCTCTTTGGTCAATTCCAGTCATGTTTGCATTTATTGTCTCATTCACTTGCCAGACTTCCCTACAGTCTCAGAGCAAAAACATCATTATTGTATTCTTAGCAGCTTTCTCAATAATAATTCAGAGTAGTTTCCTATCAGTTTGTTGAAGCTTATATTTTATTATTTTATATTTTGAATATGCACATATAAGATCATTTAGCTTATAGTTTGTTAACTAGGCTATATCTCTAAATTTAATTCATGTTACATAGGCTACAATTGAATTTTGGCCTGCGAACCGGCCCTAACCCCGTGAGGTTATATAATTTTTTAACCCATGTAGGCTCTTTAATATGCAGGCTTTTTGGCCCTGTACCGTGCGGGCGAGGGCCTAACAGGCCGGGCTGACCCATTTTGATAGTTCTGAGTGAAACCTGATTGTACCTCTAGTGAAAGACCAGAGAAATTTGATTCTTGTAACTCATTATTCTTATAGTTACCACCATATTGCCAATTCTTGTCACTCAATTAAATTGGCCGGATTTAAAAGAGATTGTCATTAACACACCTTAAACAACTTAGTTAAGGTTTTGCAACAAAATTTAATCACATTTCAAGGTTATCTTCAGAGCATTTTAGATCTGGAATAAGTGTTTAACTATCCATAAAATTGAAGTTCAAAATCGAATACAAGTTGATAACATCCATTAAAGTTTCACAAATTGATCAAAGAGATTCAAATGTAAATTTAAACTACAATCAAACCAGAAACAGAGTTCCAAATTATAAGTGAAGAAGATGAGTAGAAGAAGAAATCTGAAAGTGGAAATGTTGATGTGCTTCAATGCGTTTCTTCACAGATCCAAATTCTAGGCAAAACGAGCTTCCAACTTCAACAATGGAGGAAAAATATAAGAACGAAGAAGAAGACGAAATTCAGAGACAATTTCAAATACAAGACCAAAGACATAGCAAACTGAAGGTAAAAGTGTTTTCTGCTAAATCAAAATTACAAAATGACAAAAAATGTGTCTTCTATTCTCTTTCTACCTTTTATAGCCTCCTCAACTCAAGTGCTCATATCATTTCACGGAATCTCCTGCAGAAACGTAAAACATAAAAGGGAGATGTTCATTTTATGTCAAAAACCATTCAAGGTTCATTTCTTATGCTAAATAGTGCACCCTATCTTTTAATTAAATCAGCATTCAACTTGTGCAATTAAAAGCATATTTCTTCAGCATTAACAGTAAAGTACAGTCAATATTAGCTCCAAAATACCAATTATTCATGTTAAAACATTTATCTAAAATTACCTAACAGCACCCTTCAAAAAGACATCGTCAGCTAGTTCTTTTTTATCAATCGATTGTAATCTTTGAGCCTCTAGTTTTGCAACCCTTTCCTCAACATTTTCAAATGAGCTATTGTTGTTAGTGGTTATGTTGCGAAGATCCTCCACCTCAGCCCAAAAGCAAGATTCCGAGTATTCTTTTATTTTTGTCTTCTCCTTATGCTCCAGCCATCTTTGGATGTATCTATATCGTTTTGGCCTCCCCTTATCACCCATGTAAGAATTCAAACCACCCTCGAGATGCCTCAAATGGCGATAATAATTGGCAATATCCAGAGGCTCCACTAGTCGGCGAAACCTTGTTCCAAGCTCAACCCATTCTTCATTGCCTTCAAACTCATCTGGTAGTTCATAACTTCTCAATTTTTCAATGATCTCATCCCACACACCTGCCAGCTTTAACCTGTTCACATTTGCTTTGAAGTCATCTTTCACATTTTGCACCTTGAATGCATAGTAGTAACCAATACTCTCACGCTCCCACATATTTTTATATTCTTCCAGTTCTTTCATTTTTTCCTCAACAAAATCTTTCTTCTTTGTTATGCTATCCTTGTTTCTGGATCTTCGATCCTCTAACTCTGCTGCTGCCAGAAGACACAGTCTTGCTCTTGTGCTCTGAAATTCCGGACAAAGAATTATCACATATCCTGCAAATTCTTAGCTAGATCCATGTATCATCTTTTCGACAAATCCAATTTTATGTTTAATGGTTTAGAAATATATATATATATATATATATATATATATATAGCCAAAGTTTTATCAATTGATCTTATTACTTAAGGTGCAGTTAGTACATAAATATATTATAACCATAGTAACATGCTGAAAAAATGTTACTTACTAGGCCAAGGTCATTCAAGGCTGTTTTAGTCGCTGTAACATTGCCAACTGAACAAGCTTCGGACAAAGGAAGTTCCTCGAGTTTGTCCAAGGACACACAATTGTACCTATGTAAGGTTTGTTTTGATTTGATGGTGCCATAAATGAAATGTTGTTGTAGGCTTCTACAGGGAACTTGATCTTTTTCTGCTTCATTGCTTAATTGAGCAGAGAAAAACATGAGCTGCAGAACTGCATCTGGGTTTTCTATGACAATTAGCTTTCCAACATTTCCATTTTCAGTGCAGAAAATGTAAGTTCCAAAGGGTTTGTAAGGGCTTAATGGAATGACTTTTGCAAGATTTTCAAGTGTGGCAGGTGTGCTGCCCATTAGCTTACAGGCAGCATGGCTCGTAACAGTTGCAACATTTGACATTATGGCGAAGTAGAAGTCTGAAGCTGCTTTGTAAGAATCGGAATCGGGATTGGGAATTGGATTGAATGATTGTAATTCAAATCCTTTATCAAAGGAAGAGAGAGGAGCAAGTAAGATTCGTGGCACTATGTCATATCTCATCACAAAATGCCAGAAGTAGCGAGACCAATTTTCTCTTCTTGTAGCATGAGAAAATATGTGATTACCAACTAAGGGAGAACCAAAAGTTACACACTGAGGAGGGATACCCCCGTCGGATATTGGAATTAGGCACTTATCCAAGGCCCATAGGGTTGCCAGAATGGCCACAGGACCACCAGAGGAGTGTCCTGTAAACACTATTTTCTTCTTATTTGTCATTGCATTCCTCACCTGCAGATTCATTCAAATATATGCTTTCCTTAAATGAAGGGAAGAGTAAACATTTCACATGAACAATATCACCTACTCATAGAAAGGCTGGGTTTGGATATAAAAGGAAAGAAAACCAAAAAGCTATGTTTGCATAACTAAATCATTTATTGCAAGAAAAGAGAGGATTTGTCAGATAATACCTCATGTTCAAGTGTTGTTTTGTCCAAAATGTCTTTAAATCTTTGCTGAAAGGCTTCATTCACAAAAGCAGCTTCATCGTTACCAATGCTTTTAAGTGAAGGGAATAGATCAAGTTTTATTCTGGTCTCCCCAAAGGGTCTATTGGAATACCAATCCTTGACAGCAACTGATCTTTGAAAGCTGATGATAACTTCTGGAGGGTTGCTTTCGCTGATCTCTTCAAGAAGGAAAAGTTTGTCTGGTGAATTCTGAACCTCCAAGGCCAAGTTTAATGCCTTCTCAACGCTCTTTCTGCTCATTCCTCTGCTATCACCAAGCCATCCACTTCCTCTTGCAGCCATGTCTCTTGAGTTCTTCTCTACTTGCTTCTCAACTTCTTGCTTGTATGTTTTGATGTTAAGTTGCTCAACACAGAGATGTTTGTTATCAGATTAGATCATCACAGCCAAAGACTCTGCGCAAGTTGACTTAAAAAGCAAGTTGATTTGAACCTGATTGGACTACAAATGGGAACATATTCAATACAAAAAAAGGGACAAAATTTCTTTTATAAATTTTTTTTACAATTACAATAAGTCATACACTCTTGATTAAACCGGTCAGAGATAAGATAATTTGTAAATAAGAAGTCCGTAAACATAACCTTTTTCATAAAAAAAGAAAGAAAGAATGATGTATTCAAAGAATCTGTGTTACATGTGTGTGTAGTGCCATTGAATTTGTGGGCTCCAGTGATCATCACATGTCCGGAAACCATATTGGCATACTTTATGATAGGGTCAGGTCCAGGAATTGCTTTTCTCACAATATTTTGTTTTCGTGTTACTTTAGAAATTAATCAAATTATAAGGGGGTTCACGCGTTTGTGTGTTTTTTTCTTTCTTTGTTCTTTGTCGATTTTGAAATTTTAATTTGAGATGAAAACCAAACAAAACCTTATTTGCAAGTTGGATATAGAATTGCCCCACTAATGATCCACAAAAACCTTTCACAACCTTAATGTTTGAACAGCAGCAGGCTATACTTCCAACTTTGTGATCAATTTTTATTCTATAGCAAAGTTTTCCTTTATTTGACAATCATCTTGTTCCTGGCAAGAAAATAAAGCTTGAAGATTTCAAGAGTCTTCATCATTTGAATTTTGGGTTTTAATTTTTCTTTTTGTAATTAAATTTTCTTTTTGTTAGAGGTAAATTGAACTACCCAAACTCTTGTTCTGTTTCTCATTTCATTTCCAATTTTAATGTTTATCACTGTATTGCTTTCATGTATGTGGTCTATTTTTGGATGAGCTTCAATTTATGGTTCAATTGATAAATTGTAATATAATGTTTCTAATCTTATTTCCTTAAATTTAAACGTTTATTGTTTCCATGGATGTCGCCTATCTTTTGATGAAATCAGTTTATGTTTCAATTGGGAAATTGGAATACAATTTTACTTATTATGATAAACAGCTCTAATTTGTTATTTAGGAAGAAGAGTGAGATGGGTGAGTAAGGAGTCAAATTATTTTATTCCATGGAATTAGCTAAATTAATTCGTACAAGAAGGTATCAACTTAAGAAATTAAGCGTTAATCAATTTAGCACTCTGCACTCATTTGGAAAAGAAGTTTAGCACATAAAAGAAAGAAATCAGAATAAGGGATGGGAGTGAGTTCGAATCTCTTAACAATTTTCTTATCTTGTATTCTTTTTTATAACTTTTGCATCTATTTTATTTTCTCCTTTGCTTTACTATTTTGTTAATAATTTGAAGAGAATTGTGTTGTGATTCAGTTCACCTATATAATATTAAAACTATAGTGTAGCGGTGTAGTTAACCATAATATAATCCTAGTGAAGATGATATTTTATACTATAATAATTATAGATTATATTTATCTCATTTTACATGAGAGAAATAATTTTTATACACACATAAAAGAGTAGTGAATCCCACCACTCTTTTTTTTTCTCTCCTCTTACTTGTAGATCCTACTTATAATTTTATTTCTATAACATGATCAGATAACTATTTTTCTACTACATAAAAAAAGTATTTCCCTAACAATTTGATGCCCAAGACAATAAGTTAGTACGGTTACTGTGTGACTCAACATTAACATCAAAGTTAATCCTTTGTACACCGAACCAAATCATCATCCCAATTCCCATCTAGCTTATTTTGCTTTAATAAGATGTAAATATTACATATATCTTTTGTACACCATCAAAGTTCGTCAAAGTCAAACGCTCGACCGCTTCAATAAAGACTTTTCAGCGTGTTTTAACTTTATTCGTATATTTCTTGGAAAATTTCTCAGGAGGTCACTCATTCTAGAATTACTGTAAGTCAAGCACGCTTAACTGTATAATTTTTTCATTACGGGCTACCGAAAAGTAGATGCATCTTGTTAGTATAGGTAATACCAATTAATTCTCATAAGCTATCTCAAATTGTGCAGTCTCATACCTGCACATTCTTTGGAATCTCTCTATTTCAGGTGTCAATTCGATTCATTCATGTAACCCACGCTGGAAGCCTATCAGGAGCCGCTCCTTGTCCATATCCTTTCGCACCGGCAATCACTCCCCGCCCTCATCAGCGCTCAGGATGTTACACAAAGTTGAAGATCACAGACAACAAATCTGAAATATATGTTGGAAACTATATTTATACAAGGGATAGGTTATTTTGTCTACTCCTAATTTTCCTACCTTTGCCTACCTCTTTCATCACCGTTCCTTTACGATCTTATCCAACGGTCAATATTTGCAATATAAAAAGCATTTTCCCCCCTTTCTTTCTCCTCACTTCCTCGCACACCCTTTCTCTCTCCTTAGCTTTCTCTCTTCCTCTGCGGTCAATTTTGAAACCTTAAGATACTCGATCAAAAAAGAACAAAAAACACATGCCATCGACAACCATCAATTTTGAAACCTCACCTCCTCCAAAACCTCAAAATCCCCACTATCCATACTTCGATTTCCCAAAGATAATATGAATACCTATTTTTTTCCCCAAAGATAATAAGATATATCAGGAGCATCAAGTGTCATGGACACGCCAACACCCACTGCAGCGGTTGTATAAAAACAGCACCTCACGTTTGGTGCCCTAATTCTCAAATTCCAATTTTCGATTTACCACCAAAAATTGTCACTAGAAGAAAGCAGAAGTAGAGTTTCATTTTCGTTAACTCTTTTCACTGCAGCTACGCTGTTTATCTCCATTGTTACCACATGATTAAGAACTCCCAAAGATCAAGAATACTGTTAAGAAAAATTTCATCATAAAACAACTGATCACATCTTGCTCTTCCTTATTTAATTCAATTGAAGATCAACTCGTTGTAAACATATACTGTAAAGTAATTACTTGTTGCGAAAAATAAAAATCAGATCACAAATGTGTAGACAAAAATGTGGACGGATGCAGAGGTGCCAATGGAAGATAATATGAATAGGTATAGGTATACTACTATAGCTGCTAATAACAGTACCTAATTGGATGTGAAATTCCCATAATTTCTTTCGTTCCAAACAGGTTTTGATCTTTTGGAAATCGAATTATGGACAGTGGGGATTTTGAGGTTTTGGAAGAAGTGAGGTTTCAAAATTGATGGTTGTCATGGTATGTGCTTTTTGTTCTTTTTTTATCAGAGTACCGTAAGGTTTCAAAATTGACCGCCAAGGAAGAGAGAAAACTAAGGAGAGAGAAGGGTGTGTGAGGAAGTGAGAAGAAAGAAAGGGGGAAAAAGGCTTATTTTATATTGCAAATATTGACCATTGGATGAGATCGTAATCGAACGGTAATGAAAGGAGTAGGCAAAGGTAGGAAAATTGGAAGTAGGCAAAATAACCTATCCCTTTATACAAACCATATCTTAAGATTAATTAATAATTTCAGTTTTATTATATAATAAAATAAGGGAAATATATTTCTTATGTTGTATAATATAAATTGTTTCATGCAATACACAAAAAAGTGAATTTCACCCACTTTTTTCTTTCTCTTCTCCTTAGTAAATTTCATCCACTTTTTTGTGAGTTGCATAAGAGAATTTATTTCCTGCAACATAAGAAATATATTCCCCAAAAAATAATGACATCAAGTATGTGAATATTTGTAAATGAATACATCATTACCTCCCGTAACTAGAATTTTGTAATTATTAATTTGATTTGTATAGATTCTACCATTTAAATCCAAAAAATAGACTTAAGTTTATTTTATTTTTTGTGTTAATCACTTTTTGTGCCGAATCAAAAGTGAGTAAAAAATAATTTTTCTAATAAAATAATAGCATTATATATGGACCTAAAAGGAAAGATTTTGTCTCACATAATAGCCATTCACATAGGCCAACAATCCATAAGTTAACATTTAATTTAATTTTTTTTAAAAGTGACATGTGGATTGACTAGCCGCACCTTGTCTCTAACTTGTTTTAACCTGCCCCACATATAGGATGTTATTAGGGTTGGCGGATTGAAATACACAACCTAGCGCCTCGTTTTGCCGGGTTGACCCGTTGAGTTTAACCCATTTATGCACCAAAAGTAAACCCTTACCATAAATAAAGAGTTAAACTTCATGAGTACGCACTTCTGAAACCCTAATCTCTGCTGGTATTGTACACATACCATCCCGCTATCTTCATTGGCTTCATACCTCTTTTCTTGTGCATAATGATTTGTCACCCCTTATAGTTATCTTCCCTATAAACACTAGTGATCTTCATATCCCATATTAATCACGATTAACTTGGATAGAACAATAGTGAATATTGAAGAAATAAAATTTATTTCTTAGCTAGTTTGAATTTTGGAATGAAATGCTCAAACTCAAACAAGCGTTAAAATGTCTTTCACCGGTGATTCAGCTCAGTCACATTAAGGCCCATTAATTAATGAAAATGAACTCAAAACTCAAAAGTAAATAACGTAATGAGTTTACAGTTAGTGTCGTAAATAAGATTTGTGGTATATATTCCTATCAAATATATATATATATATATACACACACGTATATGTAAGGAAAATTGTAGGGGATTATGCTCTACCAATAAAATAACATAACTAATTTTAGAATATTCTAGGAAATTAGGCTTAGTATAAAATAGGGAGGGTGAAAAGTGTGAAGGGGATTGAGAATTTGGACACACTTGGGTTGAAAAATTAGATTGGAAGAGAATCAGAGTACTTTCTAATTGATCTAGAAACCATTTAGCTTTTCTTGTATATTTTTCTTTCTACTTCCGTTATTGTCAAATTGTCTCTGTAGTTATATTTTCCTTTACTGAAATATAATAGAAAATCCAATTCTTTGGGCCATTGTTGGTGTTTTGTTACGTTTTACTCTGATAATTTGCCAGATCGTAACAATATGCTAGATGTTTCAATATGCTTTTGTTAGCAACTTCAGAAAGT